CCTGCTGAGGATGCGTGGACCCATCTTTTTGCAGTGCCAGGCAGGGCAGCCGAGGAGGATTGGACTCTGGACCTGGATGCCGGGGGTCCAGCTCGCATCCACACCACAAACATTTAAGGAGGTTTCCCGTGGCACCCATGCCCGACACAGGTGGTGCCCAGAGGAAGAGAAAGGGCTGGGCACCCTCCGGGAGCTCTCTGCCCAGCGGCAGAGAAAGCCCTGAGGCAGAGCCCTGGTCTTGAACACTCTGATCTGCTCCGTCCCCCATCCTCATCCACTCCCTCGCCTTACCCCTGGGTCACCCCCTCCCCGGGCTCTTCTGTGTTTTGGGAGAAGTCACCAAGCCAGGATGTTAAAATCCCAGTCGCCTTCTTTCTACCCTCCCTTGCTTTCTTTTATCCTCTGGCTGCTGGGCTGAAGCCTCCCGGGCAAGTGGAGGGAGTGACGAGATCCTTGCGGGGGGCCAGCGAGGGAGACGCTCTGACAGCCCAGTGGCCCTTCCCATCGCAGTCCGGACCCCACCCACACTCTGTCCCTTGCTTACAGATGTTCTGTATGACAGTAGAGGAAATGGACATGTTCCATTTGAATATCCCAGGATACAGTGCTTCTGTCTCCTCCCACTGGTCCAGTTGGCTTCCCTCTGGACCAGTAGAAGAGGGAGAGACGTGAGGAACTGGGGCCTTTGGCTGGGAAGCCACTGAGCAGGTGGCCAGGGGGTGGGGGTGGGGAGAAGAGCTAAGGGGCGGTGAGGATGGCCCTGTCTCTGAGTGCACCTGAGCCTGGGGCTGGCGTTGCATGTGGGGCTTCCAGGATGCTGAGGGGGAGAAGGGGTCGCCCTGCAAGAGCCGTGGGGCTGGTGCAGAGCTCCGGGGATGCCTCGTGAATTGATTTGTCCACTTCTGCTCCCAGGGGCCACCGCAGGCTCGGGGAAGCGTGAGCATGGAAGCCCAGGCAGATTTCACTGGGGCTGACTCTCAGGCAGGTGTGAAGACAGGTGCTTGTCAGCCAGCGTTTCCCAGGGAGAGGGGAGCAAGTCTGGGCCTCCCACTGGGCACAGTCTGTGCTAATAAGCCCCTCGGCTTGCTTGGCAGAAGATGGTATTTGCATGTAGCCCATTAACAGATGTTTTGTACCACGGTGATCCTTCTGGGCCTTGGTGTTTGCTGCAGCTGGGGGGAGGCTGAGGGCTGTGGCCTTTGCCCCGGGGAGGATGGAGGGCAGGTCTTCCAGGCCCCTCCAAGCTGAGCTGGGGGAAAGAATGTGGCCATGGCACCTAAGCAGAGCTGGAGGGGGCAGCTGCTCTTTGTTTGTCTGCTCCCTGGGGGCTGGGGCATTGTGGTCTGGCCTCTCCAGGGCAGCTCTTTGACCTGGAGTTGGCTTCGGATGGGGTTGGCTTTCCCTTCCTCCCTCAATACTTGGGAACCTTCCCTCCAGCTTCACACTTGCTGTTTCAAGCATCGTTGGAGTCTCAAGGCGTGGTTGGAACCTTGGACTGCATTTCCACGGAGAGGAGCCCGTGGGTTCTCCCATCCTCCAAGGGCTCTGCCTCTGTGTGTGGGCTTTTCTGGACAGCTAGGGAATGAGGGGGGTGGGCTGGGGGCACTGCTCAGGGCTGACAACCTCCAGGCCTCGGCTCTGAGGTCACTGCTCAGGGCTGACAACCTCCAGGCCTCGGCTCTGAGGTCACTGTCAAGGGTTTTGGGTCTGGCTTGGGGCCAGGGATAAGCCTTTAGCTGCCAGAGCTCCCTCCCGGGGCCTTGTTTGGGGGCTGGCGTTTGGGATGAGGGTTCAGGAAGCTGCCGTCTGTGCCATAATAAACTTGCATCTGCTCACAGGCTCTGGCTGGGCTGCAGTGTCTGCTTGTGGGCTCAGGACGAGGGACTGGCTGAAGGAGAAGAGAGGCCCGGGACCCTGGGTCGTGCTGGTCCAGGCCCTGTCTCTCTCTTACAGTTCCCATAATGCCTCCTGAGGGGTGGCTGAAGGGCTTCAGTTCTGGAGGGGTGCCCCAAAGGCCACAGACCTTCTAAAGCAGACCCTGGGTTTCTAAAGCAGACTTCCAGAAGATTCCCTAAGCAGCATATAGTAGAAGAAAGAGCCTGCCTTTTTTTTTTTTTTTAAATCTTTGGCCACACTGTGTGGCATGAGGAATCTTGGTTCCCAAACCAGGGATCAAACCCATGCCCCCTGCATTGGGAGCTTGGAGTCTTAACCACTGGACCACCAGGGAAGTCCCCAAAGAGCCTGCCTTTTTTGTTTGTTTGTTTTTGTTTTTGTTTTTGCGGTACATGGGCCTCTTACTGTTGTGGCCTCTCCCGTTGCGGAGCACAGGCTCCGGACGCGCAGGCTCAGCGGCCCTGGCTCACGGGCCCAGCCGCTCCGCGGCATGTGGGATCCTCCCGGACCGGGGCACGAACCCGTGTCCCCTTCATCAGTAGGCGGACTCTCAACCACTGCGCCACCAGGGAAGCCCCCGAGCCTGCCTTTTGAGATTGGCCTCCCTGGGCTCTAGTCCTGCTCAGCGTACTTATTTCACTTCTCTGAGCCTCAGTTTCCTCATCTATAACATGGGGAAACTAATAATACTACCACCTGGGGTTGTAGCGAGGATAACGTTAAATGTTGAAGCTTATGTAAAGCCCAGCTGTTGAGAGCAGTGAGAAGTGCAGACTTTCCATTTTGGGATCCTTATTGCTTTTGCACCAAAGTGCTGTCATCAGTCCTCTCACAAGCCTTTTGTATTTTGATAGAGACCCCAGAAGCCCCAAGGGGGTGGAGATGATTCAGGCCCCCATCAGAGAGTCACAGAATGTCTCAGTCAGAGTGGGGACCCAGAGACCATCTTCATACTCTACAGAGGCTCGGAGAGGAGAAGAGACTTGCCCAAGGTCACACAGCAAGTCAAGGGCAGGAAAGCAGTTATCTTGTTTGTGGATAAGTATTAAGGTTCTCTCAAAGCCAGGAGCCCCCAGTGAGATGGTTGGAAGGGAGGGTCCCTCGCCCATCAATTGGCTTGAGTGCAGGCGGGTCCCAGGGTGCTTTGGCGATCAGGAGTCCTGCTGCTCAGGGCTGACAACCTCCAGGCCTCGGCTCTGAGGTCACTGTCAAGGGTTTTGGGTCTGGCTTGGGGCCAGGGATAAGCCTTTAGCTGCCAGAGCTCCCTCCCGGGGCCTTGTTTGGGGGCTGGCGTTTGGGATGAGGGTTCAGGAAGCTGCCGTCTGTGCCATAATAAACTTGCATCTGCTCACAGGCTCTGGCTGGGCTGCAGTGTCTGCTTGTGGGCTCAGGACGAGGGACTGGCTGAAGGAGAAGAGAGGCCCGGGACCCTGGGTCGTGCTGGTCCAGGCCCTGTCTCTCTCTTACAGTTCCCATAATGCCTCCTGAGGGGTGGCTGAAGGGCTTCAGTTCTGGAGGGGTGCCCCAAAGGCCACAGACCTTCTAAAGCAGACCCTGGGTTTCTAAAGCAGACTTCCAGAAGATTCCCTAAGCAGCATATAGTAGAAGAAAG